GCAGAAATCGACAAAGATGCTGAAGATTTCCTTATAGTTTCGGACTCTAATTAGTTTCAAGCTTCAATTTTGTTTCAAGCCTCAATTAGTCTCATATTTCAATTATCACCTTTTCTCTAAAAGATAATTCATCACGCGAATGTTGTTACATGATAAAACACGATATGGTCACACACAATGGATCAAATTCATTTTACCAACTATAATCAAATGTTCAAATGTAATTTATGTTAATACAAAGTTATTAATAATATTCCTCTGCATGTATAAATTCCCGAATTGTTGGTTAAATAATTCAAGCAAGTAGTAATATCATAAGTTTGTTATAGAATGATGGAAAGAATAAAATATATATAACAAAGTGTAAAAACCTCAGCTAGCCAATCTTAGCAAGAACAAAAAATAAATATAAACATATGCAATTTATTACATTGAGCATGATTTAATTTGCACATTTTACAACAAAAAAATTTTCTATGTTGAGAATAATTGCCTTTTTGGATAGCCTTTCTTTATAATATAAACATTTTGATATTGTTGAATGCGTGAAAATGAAATCTATGTAAGCTTAAATTAGTCAATTTCGCACCAAACATCATTGATTATGGATTCACATGATTTCAATTTCACATACAACAGCATCAAGAACGGTATATCAAGTACAAGTAAGCCAGCAAAAAAAGCTTGAAAAACCACCATCAGATATTTATTATAACATGTATTTATTGGATCAAACATTATATGAACAAATTTATAACAAACGTCAATGATCGTATAGGTCCTGAAGAATAATCCTCACGGTAAACAAATCAAATGTAGTTAATAAAGAAGGAATTCTTTTCCTTTTATTTAAAGATAAAGTTGCAAAAAAAAAACATAGCATTTAATACTTTTCCTTATGAGGTTGAACATAAAAATTGTATTGACTTGTCATCCATATTAATGAAATTGCTAAATTTTCAATTAATAATTGAATAAATAAATAAAATTATGATGTTATAATAAACATAGAAATGAAAAAGAGATTACTTACACGAAACAATGAAAGGTGACAACCATCCAGCTCCAATATTAGCACTTCTAAATAATGTCAACTCTGAAAAAAAATGAAAAAATGCAATAACAAATGTCCACAATGTAATCTGATAAAGACTATTTCGAGTATAATAAAATATGTGTGAATTAACATTAGTAAATTTTTGAAAACTTGATTAATTATAAAGATTGTCTTCAACTTACATTTCATCATTTATGTTATAGGCAGCATATAGGCGTACAATGGCTGAAGTAAGTGTCCATGCAGCAAAGGTATGTGATGATAACTTGGTAACTAATCTCATTAATCCAATCAAATTCATTCATTATTATTTTTATTTTATCAAATATATATTTATATTGAGAAAAATTATATTATTTATATTAATATTACCTTCATGAGGTTTAGCACTGTATATTCGTTTTGTAAGTGATAATGTTAAAAAATTTTGTAAAGAATTGAATATTGCAAAGGTTGATACTAATAATATCCAATATGATAAATATCCTTCATTTTCAGGAAGAATTGGTGCCATTTTTTTTTCCTCAAATACTACAATTATATATAGTTATTTTTTGTTGGAGGGGAATTTTTTTTTTAAAGGGAAATTTTTAATAATATTGGGGTGAATTTTGAAATTAGCCAATCAAATACGTGAATTCTTGTCTCCTGTTACTTGTTACACGATCAAAAAACAAAAAATATGGAAAATGTCCAACTTGCAATAGATATAATACTATACTCGCAAACTATTAAATTTACAAGCCTTCCCCAACCTGTGATTTCAATAAAGTGACAATTATTGGTAATAATAATGACAATTTAATCATTGATTATCTTCATTTTTTATTTAAAATTTATAATTGGTAATTCGTCTATGAATGAGTGAATTGATCGACATATTTTTATTTTATTTTTTTTGTACCATATAAATTAAGATAAAAGGTAAACTTTAAAAAAAAATTAATATAAAATTATAAGAAATATAAATAAAATTTTAAAGATGGAAAACACTTTAAATGAAAATAAACATGATGATGAATATTCAGAGGCAAGGGATGAAATATATGGGGAATGTCCAACCTGTAATAGATATAATACCCATGAATCATGGTGTCAATCATGTGATCCAAAGCTATTAACTGAAGGATGGACTAGCGGCAATGAAACATTAGATGAGATGATTAAAAGTACACAACTTGAAGCAACTGAGTATAATAATGATGACTATCTTCAATGGATTCCCTATAATGATCTAACAATTATTGACAAGATAGGTGAAGGTGGGTTTGCAACTATACACAAAGCTACTTGGTTAAATGGTGATAAAAGTGCACGTGGTAGAAAAAGATATAGTGAAGATAGGACTGTAGCATTAAAAATACAAAAACTACATAATTCGCAGAATATTTCTGATGAATTTCTTATTGAGGTAAATTATTTTATTAATATTAATATTAGTTTCAGATTTTTAAAATATTATTGATTATTATTGTTGTATTTATTTTATTTGTTGTTTAGTTCAAAAATTATATAAAGCTTTATAATAAAGAAGATATAATTAATATTTATGGATTAACACAAGATCCAATTACAGAAAAATATATATTTGTAATGGAATATATAGAAGATGGAAGTCTTCAAGATTATTTAAAAAAAGATTTTAAAAATTTAAAATGGGGCAATAAAATTACAATTCTTTATCAAATTATTAAAGGTTTAAAAGATATTCATAAAGAAGAAATTATTCATTGTGATCTTCATAGTGGTAATATTCTTCAAAATACTGGTATTTCATATATTACAGACTTAGGGTTATCATGTTCAGCTAGCCAAACAGCTGCATCAAACAAAAATGATATATTTGGAGTACTACCATATGTTGCACCAGAAGTTTTAAAAGAGAACCCATACACAACAGCATCAGATATGTATAGTTTTGGAGTTCTGATGTCTGTAATATCAACTTGCCAACAACCACTTAAAAATTTGGCACATAATAGATATCTTGCAATAAAAATATGTGAAGGCATAAGACCTGGATTTTCAATCAACACACCAAAATTTTATATTGAACTAGCATTCAAATGCATGGATGCTGATCCAGATAAACGTCCAACTGCTCGAGAAATTCGTAAGATTATTAAAATTTGGAGTGATTCATTTAAAGATTCAGTAATGAAAAATCCTGAAGATCGTGGATATTCAAAAAAACAACAGGATAAATTAAAATCAATTAGAAAGGAATTTGATAAAATGGATGAAATAAAATTTGATCCATCAACAATTACTGTAACAACTCACCCAAATGCTGTTTATACTAGCACATTATTAAAATTTGCAAATCTTCCTCAACCTGTAAATTCCAACAAAGTAACAATTGTTGGTAATCACAATGGTAATTATTAACATTTATTTTATTTATTAACTTTTTAAGTTCAATGTTAATATCAACCAATATTGATATGGTAACTCTTTTTTAGATTCTCAACAGATTAATTTAGATGCATTAGATATATTGTAACTGTTTTATTTATTTTCAACTTATCTTTTACATTTAAATATGTATATTATAAATAACTTTTAATAAAGATTTTATTGACCAGAAAATCTAAAGGTTTTCTGAATAGATTCTTTGTTCACGAATGTCATAATCAATTTGAGTTATTGACAATTTACAATTTTTTTTTATCCTTTCTAATTCAAATTATTTTTTCATCGGATCAGGTTCTTCTTTAAGGTGTTTGATGATCTACCATCTATTGTTATAAGCTGGATCATTAAAAACATGCCTTGGTCTGGTTTGGGAAAACTTGGAAGAATTCATGCAACTCGGCAAACCCTTCTCATTTTGGAACCATTAATGAGCAATCACAACTTAATAAATATATTGCTTTTTAATATATAGAATAGAACTCCCATATTTACTTTTCTTCATATGTATATATTTATAAATTTTTACGATTGTATGTTTTTATTTAAATTTAAAAAGCAAAATGCCTGTCACGATAATGTTTAAATAGATTATTAATGCATTCATTGATTCCCAAATCTCAAACGTATTGTTGAAAGATACAGCTTATATAACTTATATTTATATTGATGTTGCGAAAAGTAATTGTCTTAATTTATAATAATGGTTGTAAAATAGGATCCATGCTACATTAATATTTTACAGTATTAATATTAATAAAAATTCACGTTGTGTTGGAATTCTTTATTATCATTATCATTTACACACACAGCACAAACCTTGAAGGTTCTTTTTTGGTTATTGATTATTGATTACTGACCATTGCTAATTATTTAAAAAGTTCAAGTTTGTTTATGAATTCAAAATGATGCAAGACTTTGAGCAATCTTTGCCTTATTCTAAAGAAACAGGCGGAAGTGTTTTCAAAGTTTTGACAATTGATTATTGTGTTATTTTCTTATTTGATTTTTTATAATAATTTATATTCTCCTATTATTATTATTATTATTATTATTAGTGGTGATGGTAGTAATTGAAATATACTAGTAATCTAACTTATGGCAGATGGATGGTGAACTTAATACAAGTGTATCAACGGGTAGATTTACAACATACACTACTCAGATGTGCAGATATATCAAAGATAAATTGGTTATTGATTTTGGATCTAACATTAATTCTAATTATACTGGAGGAAGGGGGGAGGGAGGAAATTAAAGAGTCAAAAGGTTTTTAATTGAACTGAATATTGTTTATTTTATATTATTTCATATCCACTCATTGTTGTCAAAGATTATGTTGTTTTATTATTATTAATATGAGTGAAACAGGTTTTTAAATGGATTATTAAATATGGATAAAATGGATGAAGCTTTTATCGAATTTTTATTGTAGTTAGATGCCGAAACTCTGATGATAATAAAAAAAATGGGATTTAGCATTAGTAAGTATATACAGAGCAAATTTATGATCAATTGATTGAATTAGACCTTACGTGCTATATTCTTTCTTTAACCATCTGCCATTTAATTTTCTGGCAGTTCGTGCATTTGTTCTAGTACGTTGACCTCTAACAGGATAACCCATAGCATGTCTTTTACCTTTATAAGAACCAATGGTTCTATGATGTATAATATTATTCCTTGTTTCGCGTCTCAAATCACTCTCAATTTTCATGTTTGATAATTCTAAAGATATTTGATTTATCTGTGATTCCGATAATTCTGATAATTTACATGCTTTATGAATGGAAAATTTACTACATATTTTATTAGCTGTTATATCACCAATTCCATAAAAGTATGTTAATGCAATCTAATAAAAAAAATTTTTTTTTGTATAAAATAATCCAACGTATGCGTTAAGTAAGAATTAAATTATTGATAATTAATTATTGATGAAATATTTATTTACTCTGACTAATTTATTTTCAGGTAAATTGACTCCAAGAAGATGGAGCATCTTATTGATTGTAAAAAATAATAGAAATATTTTGAAATTTTTATTGGTTGTCAAGATCAATGTAATACGAAAAATATCCTTTTTTTTTAATATTAATATTAATATTAACTAACGGAAAGAAGATTTATAATAATATTTTCTGATAGATAGTACATAACATATACAACTATATATAATAATAATAAATAGAATGTGCAACTTTGTTGAACCAACGTTCACTGGGGTATATTTAAGGGTCTAAGTTGCAAATAAGAACAAGGTTTGAAAGACTAAGTGCAAACCGAATACTTTATCCATTCATCCATGCAAGATTTTCTATTCTGAGATGTTTTTTTCAACAATACCAGGAATTACATTTCTCTTTTGAATCTGAAGGTTATTGTTCTGCCCTAATTGATTTTGACAGAAATCATTGCAATTTATAAAGGTTCAAATTTGCACTCTCCAGTAGATAAAATAAATAAATACACTTTCCCAGACTTCAACCAGAATTCAAATTACATTTACTGATCAAGGATATCAACTTTTTACTCAACTTCAAAACGGATTGTTTAATTTTCAAATAAATATTCGAGAAAATCTCAATTACAAATAATTATAGAAAAAAATCGTATAACTAGTATGTTTAAAGTCGTGCTAAATTGTTAGATATTTTATTTTAAATATTAAATAAGATTATTTCTCTGCTACTTCTCCTACTTGAGAGTAGATTCTTGAAGCTGTACTTGATTCCACTCGAAACTGAATTTTTATTATTAACGTTGTAACTTTTAATGTTAAAGAATGATAAAGATCTACAAGTCGACTATACTAATATAGGGGTAGTACAGTATATAGTGGAAAATAAAAAAATGGCATGTTAGCGGGCGGACACGTGTAAATAATTTGGTTGCATGTATGTAAATAGTAATAGTAATAGTGTAAGACTTTGGCGGTGTTTGAATATGGAATTTTGATTGGTTGATTTGAATTTCAATTGCAAATTCACATATTCCTTTAAAAATAATAATAAATTTACTCAATAATAATAATTAATTAATATCCAAATGCTTTCTCGACGTAAAATGTCACCATCTCGGAGAAAACCATCTATAACATCTTCTTCATCAGAAACATCAATATCAGAAGAAACCAGATCGATTGAATCGGATCAAAATTCTAAAAAATTTGATTCAACCAATACAACATATTCCACAACCACGATTGATACAACAGCTGCAAAACTTTCGCTTACATGTAATTTTGGTGATTTACCCGCATGGCTACAAGATAACAAAGACATTCTAAGAGGTAAGTAATCAAATATTATAAAGAATATCTAATTATGTCGTATCTAATTATAATCATCTATTTTAGGATATCGTAGACCAACACTTTCTTATATAAAATGTGCAAAGTCACTATTTTATCTTCATAATGAAAGTGGTATGTAATATATTTAATGTATGTTTATAAAATCACGCATGAATTATATTCGTTTCTAAAACTATTTTATTTTATTTTATTTTATTTATTAGTTAATATTTGGTCACACTTGATTGGAACTATAATATTTATAATTCTTGGATTTGTAACATATTTTTCCGTATTGTCAAGTCAACCAAATATTAAGATATGGGATTTTCTTGTTTTTTATACTTTTTTATTGGGTGCAATGATTTGTTTAGGTTTCTCTTCGACTTTCCATACTCTATGTTGCCATTCTGAAAGAGTGAGTTTACAGCGAATCTATTGATTGATTGATTGATTGATTGATTGATTGATTGATTGATTGATTGATTGATTGATTGATTGATTGGTTGATTGATTGATTGGTTGGTTGATTGATTGATTGATTGGTTGATTTATTGGTTGATTGGTTGATTGAGTTATATATTATATCACATTGATTAATTGATATTTAATTTTAGGTTTGTGCTAATTGGAATAGATGTGATTATGTTGGAATTGTCACACTAATCGTGTAAGTAACTAATATTTGTTTTTTATTATAACTATAATCATAATATTAATTGAAAATTATTATTTATTTTCTAGAGGGTCATTTTATCCAATGATTTATTATGGTAATTTAATATTTACGATCAATTGATTAACTTTTGATTAATTAATTATTATCATTTGTTCATTATTATTTACAATAAATTTAATTGATTTATTAGGATTTTATTGCAACGGTTTATTACAAATCATTTATCTTACATTAATTTCAATATTTGGCGCTGCAACTGTATGTGAATGATAGATAAAACTGCCTCCAATTACGTTCAATAATTAATTCATCATTATCAATAATAATATTAATTTATTTTTTCATTGATTAATCAATTTTAGATTTCAGTCGCAGTTGCCAGCAAATTTAGATCACCTGAATTTAGATGGTTTCGTACAGGAATGTTTTTATCAATGGGTTTAAGCGCCATAGTTCCTTTGGCTCATGCTTTGATATTGTATGGGGTAATTGTTATCATTATTATTTATTTGTGATAATTATAATAATTATATTTAAAATACATAAATATAAACATTTCTTTTAAAACAGCCTGGACTTTGCTTTGATGTAATATCTTTAAAATGGTTACTATTAATGGGCGCATTATATGTTGTTGGTGCTTTAATTTATGGTGCAAGGTAATTTTTATGACAAGTTAAATAATTTGATCTTTATTTTTGTTGTTATATTTTTAATATTTTTGTCAATTAGAGTGCCTGAAAGATGGTTTCCTGGAACATTTGATATATGGGTAATTTGTTTATAATTATAAATTAGTAGTTGTAATTTTATTTTAATTATAAATTAATAATTATAAAATTTTGTTGTTTATTTTTAGGCATCATCACATCAAATATTTCATTGTTTTGTCTTGGCAGCTGCTTCAGTTCACTATTATGGCGTCAATCAAGCAATGTTGTATTGGCATAGTTTTAATCATGAATGTAAAATTGACATTGGAGCAATGGAACCTAGGTTATGAATTATAATTTAATTTAATTAATTAATTCACTATTTACTTATTTTAATTTATATGCTAATACATTAAACATTAAATGTAACTATAAAATAATTTATGTCAAAAAGTAATTTATCTTCCAAAAACATTTCCAATTGCTATGTTTATTATATCTTATGATAATAATAAATAACATGCAACTAATTTAAAAAATTATGACATAAAATTTCACAGTCATGGTAATCCACCTTAATTGCTAATAAGGAATTGTGTGACTAACCAATGGCACACCTTTTTCCTAGTAATCTCATTGAACCTTACAATCTGTATTTTCAATTTCCCCACTATAATCAATAAGGTTTGCATTAATATATCGTTGAATATTTTTTCAAGAGATAGAAGACTCCAAGTAAATATCTTACGTTTTCATATAAATAACATTATTTATGTCCAGAAAAACATCTCCAATTCTATTTCGATAAGCATACTCTAACAAATCACTATTGCGAAGGGGATTTATTGGTAGTTGAAAGCAGAGTGAGTACACTAAAATAGAATTAAAGTCAATATGATCATTCCAAATACCAGCATATAAAGTATTGTACTTACAATGCATTATATATTTATTGGATCCACTGGCAAGACCATTCCTTAATAACATTATACAAGCTATGATTAGCAATAAGATTCTCACAAAAAATAACTGCAATTTTTGCTCAAATGGACATTATAACCAGTTGTTACTTTAATAATGCCATCATTGTATTTTTTCAGTAATGTATTGATGTTCATATTCAATCCACTATAAAGACTAGTGCCATAAGTTATGATGATGGTAGTAATTGTATTTACGGCATATAAAAAGTGGTTGCAATTACCTTTGCAACCATACTTTTTCCTTTTTTGGATTACGGCACTAGTCTTTAATTGGATCACATTCGTTTTCCTCAGGTAAGAAGTTAATATTGTATCTAGCAATTCCACCAACATCTACAAATCTTCCAACACTGGATTCTGCAATAAGTCAAGAATTTGTTAAGCAATGAACCTTAGATGAGTAGAGAAGATATGTAAAGAATAAGGAAGATACCAGATCTCTGAAAATTCATCTATCCCTTGATGCTCATCTACATTTTGATTCAAAGAAGGACTATTGTTCATGACCTAATACAGTTAACATAACTATTAGTAATCTCACTCAGTTGAATTTCAAAAGTAAATAAGTTATATTCTGACTTTTTTTGATGATGTTTCATTCTCTTTTTCACGAGTTCATTTATTTCCAACATTATTAATTTGAATACCATCACATGATACAAGTCGAATATTTGTTCCTGTATTAATCATCTTTTCTTGGAGAATTTTCCCAACATCAAGCCATAGATTATCCATGTTGCTTCCTGCATTACGTTGATTTTTGTTCTTGCAAAAAAAAAAAAAGGAAAAAAATGCTATTAATACATAAACATAAAACGCTTTTAACATATTCAATATTCAGCACTGAAAGAACCATAACGATCGAAAAGATCATCAGAAGGACAACGAAAAGTTGTGTCTTCCTTGTTATGGATGTCACAACCACAACGATCGAAAAGATCATCAGAAGGACAACGAAAAGTTGTGTCTTCCTTGTTGTGGACAACCACAGTCATCTAAAAGATTACTGCAGAGGACATTCCCCATAATCAAACAATACTTGCCTGACAATTGGCTAAAAGTATTTGAGCTTTCCAGATTTTTTGCAGATACAAACTTTGTTCAATAATCACATAGAGACTTTTAAAAAAGTGCATCCATAGTCTTGCCATAAGTTAGTTGCTCAGGATGCTTTTTGTGAACATTGATCCAATTTTATGAAACATCAAAGTAACTATTCCACAAGTTCATAGTAAGAGTTGTAAAAAATTGACAGATTCAATTTGTTATTATTATGACCCAAATTGATAAATAAAAAGAGAATCCTTGAATTGTAATGTCGTTTTTCGAAAAATATTTAATGAATAATTAATTTAATTATTAAGAGAATTGTTATTCGCACCCCTCCCGTGACTAAGTGTAGTAAGCGACCAATGAATGGCTTTAAAATATGATGATTTTATTGGTTCATCTTTGTCTTAGTCACGGGCAGTGTTGGAAATTTTATGCCGGGGTTTGTGTTACATAATAAATGCGCACATTTTTATGATCATCAAAAAATTTTTTAATTAAACAAATAAATAAAATAAATTTTTTAATTACAGTATATAAATAAATAAAATAATATTTTAATAAAAATAAAAATCAATTAATAACAACTATTTCTTCTTTTTTTGTTTGCCCAATGTTTATATGCTTTTTCAAAATCAAAATCCCGGACATCTGGTCCATTTAATAAAATCATTAAATGATTATTCAGTGTATTTATATCCATTTTGTTTCTTAATTTGTTTTTTATCAACTTCATTTCTGAAAATATTCTTTCTACATGTGCATTAGAAAAAGGTATAAGAAGTGCTATTTTAATAATAATTGTTAAATTTGGGTAATTGAAAGAAAAATCATTGTCTGTATCAAAAATATCTTTCCATATTTCAATAAAATTCATTTCTATATTTTTGTGGGATTGCAAATAAAATTTTAGTGAATTCCATTCTTCTATTAGTTGTCCTTTTTCAACAATTTCACAAAATGCATCATTTACCAATCTAGTATCTCCATAAAATTTATCTAAAAACTCTATCTCACTCTGACCATATAAATTTAAATCATCTTCAATATCAGGAAGTTCATTTGGATCAAAAATTTTAAACGAAGAAAATAGTTCAGTATCTGGAAACCTATTATTGATGGCTTTTATCATTGCTAGTGAGTAATCTTTAACAAATGAAGGCACTGAAAAATAATGATTTTGTACTAAATAATTCTTGAATATCATGCCATAGTTTGGTGATATTTCTCCATCACCTATAAATTCTGCTGTTATCTCTTTAATTGTGGCATCAATGTTTGGTTTATATTGTGATAAGGACAGATTATCTGATTGAAATATTTTTATTAACCTTTTCAAAATATTTGTTAAATCAGCAAGAAACATTGTTACAGAAATGAAATCACAATCCAATTTTTCTAGTAAAACTCTTGCATGCCCATCACCTTCTAACATGTCATCATTTAAAGCAGCAATTACTGAATTCATGATTTGATGTAAATTATACACAGAACTTGATAATGACAACCATCGAGTATCACATAAATTTAATACTTTAAGTGTTGGTTCATCATTAATTTCCTGCATCAATTTTAATAAATCTTGCCTTTTATGTGATCTAGAAAAATATGAATACAGACTTCTTAATACTTTTTCATATTGTTGAAAATATTCTACTTCATCAGAAGCATCCTTTCCAGCTAAATGAAGTCGGTGTGATATACAATGAATTGAGGTCATAAAAGGATTGATTTCTTTTAACCTTGTAGCAACACCAGTTTGATTTCCTGTCATATTAGAGGCTCCATCACTTCCAAAATGAATTATTTTGTGATATGATATTTCATTTGAAGTACAAAATGATAAGATTTGATTATAAATATTTCCTGCAGTGGTAGATTCTAGATTAATCATACCTAAATATCTCATATAGGGAATATTATTAACAATATATTTTCCCACAATTGCTAGATATTTACTATTATCAATACTGTTAGCTTCATCAATCATTATACTCCAATAAATTGAGGAATTCAATTCTTCAAAAA